GTGAGAGGCACTGTGCCAAATTATGTTTTTGATTGAAGGAGAGACAAACGTAATGTGCCATGGCGAAGGGGGCGACGCCTCTGCAAAAAATTGACCATTGGGGCGGGCAGGGCGGATGCCCCAGCTCTGGCGGCGGTACAGGTTAGTGACCAGCTGGCGCTGCACCGTCGCGCAAAAACAAAACTTAAGTTCTAATAGGTTTAGGACCGAGCCTTGGCGTGGCCTCTTTTGTGATTTCGGAACTATGGAGGACACATATTTCCATTTGTTCGTTGTGTTGTTTTCTAGAGAGATGGGAAAAAAGAGTAATGGATGTGAGTGTGACCAAGGGGTATCATATCATGCATGGAAAAGGGAAGAGATTTTCAGGCCAATACGGGGCTCCCTCGGCGGCGAATCGGGTGGATTGGAGGGGGGGAGGGTTAGGGTTTGATACCTTGCGGGACGGCGTTGAGTAGCTCGTCATGGCACGTTCGGGTTCATGAAGAGGAAGGGGAAGGGAAAGAGGAGAGAAGAGGAGGCAGCGGAGGACAAGGGCGGCTATTCATTCTATTTTCCTTTGGGTTGGGTTGTTTTGGATGCTTCCTCTCTTGTTCTATTTTCATTAACAAACTTATCTTTTTAAAAGTTCCTTCTTCTTATAAGTACCTACATCCCTCTCTCTTTTTAAAGATCAAAACACTATTTTATAAAGAAGAAAAATTCAAAGGTGTACTTTGGGGGTGGGATGGGGGTAATACTTTGAAGGTAGGCGCTTATCAATGGGAGGCAATATGGCAATTTTCACTTTAAAGTGAGAGATATGGCAATTTTCACTTTAAAGTGAGAGAGATATGGCAATTTTCACTTTAAAGCCAGAGAGATATTTTATGTGGCGTAGCGAAGGGGACGACGACTCGGCGAAAGCCCCTCATGGCATATGGTGAAGAAGGGACGGCTGGCGACCTGACGTTACATCGCGATGCACATACACGTCGTGGCGGACCCACCATTGGGCGCAAGTTCTCTGGCGGCGGTGTAGGGTGCTCGCTTACCCACCGATAGGCGGGGCCATCACTCATCATTCGTCGCCCCGACAAACCTTAGTTTCTGGTCCGCCACTGTATACGCGGCAAGTCGGTAACGGGTTTTAGGACCGAGCTTTGGCCTGGCCTTTTTTCGTGATTTCGGAATTATGGAGACAACATATTTCCATGTGTTCAGTGTGCTGCTTTATATAGAAGAAGAAAAAAAAGATCTATGACATGTGTGAGTGTGACCATGGGCATCATATCCTGCATGGGCACTACTGAACCCAGGAGGCCTTGTACCAATCAATGATCACATCACACCACCTGATAGAGAAAGAAAGGAACATTGTGCTGAATCCAACAAGGCTTGCACTGACTGTAATTGGAATGGACACCTGGAACTGCAATCTTTGTGATTGTGTGATCACACAAGCAACAGCTGAAACAGAACCAGTCCTAACTGAAAGCACTGTTAGCACATCAGGATGAGGCCATGGAGTCAACGTCAGGGAACAAGAAGCACCAACGACCCAACTGTGTATGTATTGTATTGTGTGCAAGGGGGGCAGAATGGCATCTCCTTCCTCTCAATTATCAATGGCCTTTCTCAGTTTTTCTACATTCCTCTTGGGTGCACCACACATCATCACATCACAACTCACAATGGAACATGAGCCATTTGCTGGAGCACTGCTCCCAGACAACAGCTATTCCCCACTCACTCCTATCTAACATTTCTCATACAAGGCTTTCACTACTGTCACCTCAACAGTCACTCTGCGCTTTCGTCGTCGGAAAGGTCGTCATCGTCGTAGTCGTCGTCATCGCTCTGCTGTTGGGCATTCAATCTCTCGTTCTTCTTCCTGGTCTCCTCGCCTATGGCGTTCGCGATGGCGATGGGCAGCAAGAACCCGGGCCTCTCGAGGAACTTGGCACGGTGGAGGATCATCGCGTCGCGCTGCGTCACGTCGATGCCGTCGAAAGTGTGCACGGCGACGGTGGCGTTGCCTTTCAGGCCCAGCGAGTACCAGCCTAGACCTGAGACCGCGATGTCCGTGCTGTTCACGTCCCAGCTGACCCCGGACACGTCGATCCGCCTCTCTGTCCACTGGCCCAGTTCGGTCGCTCGCTCTGCCGCAACTGGTGGCTGCACAATTACAGTGTATCATAAATCAGTATTATGACGGATATAGAAATGCAAAAAAAAGTATGTTTTTTCATGGTTATATTATGGATTGTATACTCCAGCTGCATATGCACTGAACAGCAAAAGCAGGTAGCAGGGCTCATTATTGTCTTGAAAATTGACAGCTTTCAGTGTATAATAGGAGTTCAGCCTATAGATTTAATACACCATTAGTAGCCTATGACATATGACAACCATAGCAAATTGATGGCGAACACCTGAACAAATCTATGCAGTCCTTTGATTAAAGCAGACGAACAAATTAAACAGCGAGTTTGTTTATTCAAATAGCATATCACATGCAGAGTTGTTCCATAAAGCAACCTTACTTCCAAATCATCTTTATTCAGTCCTTTGATTAAACAGAATCTAACTAATTTATCCTTAGAAGCAACATTAAGCAGATTGGAAATTGAAGTCTCACCTGAAGTCTGATGCCAACATGCTTGGCCCGCAGTTCTTCAGCATTTTCAGTTTTTCCAAGATGAAGGGAAATATTGGCAGATGCCCAAACAGTCACATATATAGTTTGAACTGAAGCTTCTAGTACATCCAGGCGTGTTAACCCACCAATGTGGACAGATTGTCCAGCCTGCAACAGTTCGCAACATTTGAGTCAAACTTAACCTCGTGGATTCCGATACAACATAGAACAATATGTTTGTAATTCAGAGTTAAGGAGCTTCAGGGGTGCTATTAAATCACTTAACCTTTCAAGGGACTAGAGTTGCCCAAGTGTATTCAGTGTATAAGGTCCTTCAAGAGTAAAGTCATAACTAGGCATGCAGGGGTTACTGGTTAAAATCATCCAAGTGCCTTTTCATTTCTGTTTAATTATAACAGCCAGCTATAAATCCACAATATCGTCAAGTTCACCGAAGTTCGTTTCAACTTCTATGTGACAGAGTGTTAGACTTTTAGCATCGTCGGTATTTTACAATGCTACCAATATCTATATATCTTGACCACGCACCTCTAGGTGAAGACTGCTAATTAAAACACAACTAGAATGCTGACATGAAAATAGACTGAAGAAACTAGCCATTTCTAGTTACGGACCCAGTAGTTATGCATTTGTATTTAGCGGCTACTACAAAACAATAAAGGTCAGCCACTCCATCTGAAATAAACAGAACTAGGGCAAAGTTAACAGACTACAAATTTACCTTCACCCTGAAGGTCCGCGGCCGAAGTTCCTTCCTGATTTCAACCATCTTCCGTTCCTCGGTGTTTAACCTCATTGACATAATATACGGATGCAGCAAGCCAGGAGTGTCATACATCTTAGCCTTTGCAGGCAAAACGCCCGTCATCCTCAATATGCCCAATGTAGTTCCCGGAACGGCTGCTTCTGTCAGTCTTGTGATCTTAACACCTTGCTTCTTTGCAAATGCATTGATCAGTGTCGATTTCCCAGCATTCTGCGCACCGATCACCCACACGTTGCTGCGAGGCCCCGCTAAATCCTTGACATATGAGATCAAGTTCCTCACTGACAAATCCTTGTGGACGCTGACGAGGTACACGGCATCGAGCTTCGGAGCTCCGAAAGCCTTAGCTCGGCCTCGCACCCATTTCTCCAGCCTCACTCCCATCTGCTCCCATGGCAGCAGATCCACCTTGGTGCCGACAAGGACGAGCCTCGGCGTCTCGCTCAATTTGGAGTTGCCCCTCCCCTCGAGCGCCCTGAACAGCGACTTGGCCGCCCTCTTGGGGAATGACCCGTCGAAGTCGGCGCAGTCCACCACCATGACGATGACCGGCGTGCCGGCCGACCGCTTCATCAGGCGCGACGAAATGAAGCGGTCAAAGTCGAAGTCCGGGATGAGGTTGTCGGCCCTGTCGTTCTTGACGTGCCCGTAGTTCCTCAGCGAGTGGCACCGGGCGCACACCACGGCGGAGTCCTCCCTGGCCTCGGCCTGCTTGGCCTCCCTCGCCCGCCGCTTCCGCTCCGCCTTGGACAGCTTCTCCTTCCTCATCCTCTCCAGGGTCTCCTCCGTGATGCTCCCGTACCCGACCCCCGGCGGCGTGAACCCGTCCAGCTCTTTGCTCCATTTCTCCTCCTCGTCCTCCTCCATCCCGTCGTCCCACTCCGAGTCCCAGCCGCTCTCGCCGTCCATGCCGGCCTCCGTCTCTCCGCCACCGTCCTCCTCCTCGTCCTCTTCGTCTTCTTCTTCGAGGGACTCGAGAAATCCGGTGTCCAGGCCGTCCAGTTCGGCGGCGAGATCGGACTCCGACGGCAAGCCGTCGTCCTCCTCCTCGTCCCCGACGAACCCCTCCGGAGAGTCGGATTCTTCTTCCCCCAATTCGTCCTGCGGGGGGCGGCGGGAGGGGCTGGTGAAGAAGCCGGGGAGGTCGGGGTCGTCGTCCTGCATGAACACCCCGCACCCGGGGCACACGGCGCGGCGGGCGTCCTCGTCCCTGCCCTCGCTGATGACCTGCCCTGGGTTCGGCGGCCTGGCGGCGCGCCTGCCGGTGGTGGTGGTGGATACGGCGGCAGCGACAGCCCGGAGGGGGGAAGAAAGGCCGCGGCTTTGGGGTGGTGGCGAGAGGAAGGAGGGGACCCGGAGGCGGAGGCGGAGAGGCGGGGTTGTGTGGAGGAGGAGGCCGACGGGGAGGCGCGCTGGCGCCGCCGCCGCCGCCGCGGCGGCCGGGGTCGGGAGCGGCATGGGTTTAGCCATTGCGAGCGAGGGGATAACGCCACTGTGTTGCTTATTTATTTATCTTTTTTTTCTGAGCAAGACTGCATTGGATAATATTTTAAAAAAAATGCATTTTACAGAGACTTGTAAGAAACTAGTCCCTGCATTTTACGTATAGCACCCTAGATCATAGATCAAGATTGCGATTTGGCCCCTAGATTGCATTTTACGCATAGGACCCTAGATCATAAATCTTGTCGGCGCTCATGCAAACATCGAGACCAAAAACACACACATGTGAATACATGAGCACGAAGTTAGCGAGAGGCACCGTATCACGCCTTGTAATTTTTCTTACTAACAGGGTAGAACTCAAATATTTGTTCATTGCAGTAATTTGTAGTGAGTAGACTATAACCATTGTTTTATGTGTTCTTATCTTATGGTGGACTTGTAACATGTTGAAGTCTGCCTTGCATACATCTATTGACAATTTACAATTTGAAATGTCTAATAAGTCTCCATGCACCTCTTCATATAATTTACATTTGAAATGTCCTTTTTTGCATTAGAAATTTCCAATATGTTCATTTTCGATCATGACAGTACAAAGAATACCAGAGACAATAAAAATTACAACCATATCCGTGGACCACCTAGTGACTACAAGCACTAGAGCGACCCGAAGGCGCGCCGCCGTCATCGCCCTTCCCTCACTGGAGTCGGGCAAACCTTGTTGTAGTAGACAGTTAGAAAGTTGTCGTGCTAAGGCCCCATAGAACCAACGCACTAGAAGAGCAACCATCACTAGTAAAGAAAGTCATAGATCGAAAGCATCAAACCTGTAAACACATCCAAACGAAGACCAGATCCATCGAAGGCCAACACCAACTAAATTCCACGAGATACGACGAAGAGACACATCCACACTCCCTCCGACGAAGGTAGATGCACCATAAGGACATTGATAGAACGTGGGGGGCATTATTCCTACCAAGGGACATCGTCGCCGCCACACAGCCCCAGCCAAGATGTTGAACCTAAACAAGAACGAGAACGGAGTCCCTCCCGCCGGAGGAGGAGGGTGGGGTGGGGGCAGATACTCCGCACCTCCATGGCCCAAAAGCCATTGGAGATGGGCCGGACCAGCAGCAGCGCCGACTGGAGGAGGAGGAAGACTTAACTTGGTTGCATGTATTGATTGACTAAGAAAGGCTTATAAGGCCAATTGCAACTTGGAATAACATAAATCAATTCTAACTTAATTTGGAGACAACGGGAAACCTTCTTTGGAATGAACCGTTCTGTACCCAAATTCTTACCCTAAACTAATATTAACTAGGTATAATTACTAATATTATTACTTTATCAACAGCTAGTAGCACGACAGCTGGCGTATTTTATAACTTACCATTACTTTTTCTTTAGGCTCTTGGCCCAACTTGCTCAAATCTACCTCGAGAAAAGGAGATATTAGCTAAAGATAAAAGTTTCTTAGCAGATGGCTCCATATCAAATTCATTTGAAGGTAAGCAAACAACATGCCAGCGCACATACGCCTTCCACCACCAAATGTCGTGAAAGGGAACTTGCCACCAACTTTGTCATCATCTCTGCCAGGACCAAAATGCTACGGTAGCTAGCTACTAAACTAAATCTTACTGCATCAAACACTTTACCTATAGCCAACAACTACATCACCTAAGGCCATGCAACGTGTACATAGCAAACACGAAGGCCAAGCTCTAGGGCAAGAAAGCCAGCTAATTAACAAGTATATGTTTCCTTTCATGATTATCACTGCATCAACTCTTGTCCACAAATTCCCACAGCAATGTACGTAGTACCATCTAGTACAAACTAGTTGTACGACTCGAAATCTTGTCGGTTCTCACGCAAACATTAGGACCAGAACACACACACATGAATACATCAGCATGAAGTTAGCCAGAGACATGTATCACTCCTCATAATTTTTCTTACTAATAGGGTAGAGTCGCGGTGGCATGTCATACCCTATAATTGGCCTGTTGTTATACTCGTAACTCAAATATTTGTTCAGTGTATTTTTTTAGTGAATAGGATAGAATCATTGTTTTCTGTGTGTTTATCTTGTGGTGGACTTGCAAAGTGTGGAAATATGTCTCATACATTTATCGACAATTTATGATTTGAAATGTCTAATAAGTCTCCATGCACCTCTTCATATAGTTTACAGTTTGAAATGTCTTATAGTTAGTCTCCATGAAGTGCTTCATATAATTTATTGTTTGAGATGTCTTATAAAGTCTCCATGCACCTCTTGCAAGGTGTGGAAGTATGCCTTGCATGCATCTATTAGCAATTTATGCTTTACGAACCGTTATAGGCATCCTTGGCACAACAACACAAGGGGAAGAGGAGAGAGAAGACGAGGTAGTGAAAATAGATTCAACTTGGATGCATGTACTAATCATCATATGAAGGCTTATAATGCCAATTTACAACTTGGAGTAAAAGAAATCAAGTCTAACTGAATTTGGAGATAGCAGGAAAACCTTCTTCGGGACGAACCTTTCCATACCCAAATTCTTACACTAAACTAACTAGGTATGATTATTAGTATTACTACTTTATCAATGGCTATAAGTGCAACAGTTGATGTCTCTTATAACTTATCATCACTTTTCCTTTAGGCTCTTGGCCCATCTTTCTCAAGTCCGCATCGGGGAAAGGAGATATTAGCTTGAGCTCAAAGTTTCTTAGTAGATGGCTCCATATCACCTTAATTTGCAGGTAAGCCAAGGCCATGCCAGGGCAAACATGCCTTCCACCACCAAATGTTGTGAAAGAGTACTCACCACAAACTTTGTCCTCCTCTCTTCCAGGACCAAACCGATTCGGATCATACACATGAGGGTCATTGTAAACGTGTGCCAACTTATTGTTGAATGCCGTAGGGATTACAACATTATGCCCTCCAGGTATGTCATATTCCTTGCCTTCTTTGGTCTGCACCTTGAATTTCTTATGTGCCTTGCGAGCTAACATTTGTGCTGGTGTATGCATCCTAATCGCCTCCTTGATGCATCTATGCAGGGTATCCATCTCTAACAAGGCATCATAGCCTATTTGGTTCTTGTACTTGCTAAGGATATGCTTTTGCTCCTCCATGGCAGCTATTAAGAACTTGGTGTTGCTCAACATAAAAGCTCCAGTCCATATACTAGTGCTAGAGCTTGGGTGTTTTCCAGCAAATATGAGGGCCATGACCATGCCGGAAATTTCTCCTTCCGTTATGGAGCGACCATCTTTATACTTGGAATCCATCAACCTCTGTAGTGCATCCTCCTCGACACGACTAGAACTCCTGCGTGACCTGATAGTTGCGGTGAATATTTCTTTCAGCCTAATGTGTGCCTTATTGCGTCGGCAGTTTGTCAGGGTTGGAAAATATGGAAACAAGTAGCTGAAAAAGTTTAAGCCGTTCTCAAGTTCATGGAACAATGAGTATACTTCTTTTAGCATCATCTCCCGAACCTCATATCCAAGTAGGCACCGACTTGAGATAAACATGAGCACCTGCTCAAGTTCATGTTTAAGATCAACTATGCCATCTTGTCCCCACTTTGCAAAGTAGGCCTACATAGTAGTATAAGAAAGTCATCAGTCAGGTGCAACGTACATGCATGGTATCACTACTCTTGTCATCTATATCTTACATCTAAAACTAATGACAAATGCCAAAACCAGGTCCAGCACATACGCCATCTTGCGAAAACACATTTAGTACATGTATAGTCAACTTATGTATGTACTTAGTGTTGGAAATATGCCCTAGAGGCAATAATAAATTGGTTATTATTATATTTCTTTGTTCATGATAATAGTCGTTTATTCATGCTATAACTGTATTATCCGGAAATCGTAATACACGTGTGAATACATAGACCACAATATGTCCCTAGTGAGCCTCTAGTTGACTAGCTCGTTGTGATCAACAGATAGTCATGGTTTCCTGGCTATGGACATTGGATGTCGTTGATAACGGGATCACATCATTAGGAGAATGATGTGATGGACAAGACCCAATCCTAAGCCTAGCACAAAGATCGTGTAGTTCGTATGCTAAAGCTTTTCTAATGTCAAGTATCTTTTCCTTAGACCATGAGATTGTGCAACTCCCGGATACCGTAGGAATGCTTTGGGTGTACCAAACGTCACAACGTAACTGGGTGACTATAAAGGTGCATTACAGGTATCTCCGAAAGTGTCTGTTGGGTTGGCACGAATCAAGACTGGGATTTGTCACTCCGTGTAAGCGAAGAGGTATCTCTGGGCCCACTCGGTAGGACATCATCATAATGTGCACAATGTGACCAAGGGGTTGATCACGGGATGATGTGTTACAGAACGAGTAAAGAGACTTGCCGGTAACGAGATTGAACAAGGTATCGGTATACCGACGATCGAATCTCGGGCAAGTACAATACCGCTAGACAAAGGGAATTGTATACGGGATCGATTGAGTCCTTGACATCGTGGTTCATCCGATGAGATCATCGTGGAACATGTGGGAGCCAACATGGGTATCCAGATCCGGCTATTGGTTATTGACCGGAGAACGTCTCGGTCATGTCTGCATGGTTCCCGAACCCGTAGGGTCTACACACTTAAGGTTCAATGACGCTAGGGTTATAAAGGAAGTTTGTATGTGGTTACCGAATGTTGTTCGGAGTCCTGGATGAGATCCCGGACGTCACGAGGAGTTCCGGAATGGTCCGGAGGTAAAGATTTATATATGGAAAGTTGTTGTTCGGGTTCCGGAAAAAGTTTGGATTTTTTCGGTATTGTACCGGGAAGCTTCCAGAAGGTTCTGGAGGATTCCGGAGGGGTCCGGAGGTCCGGAAATTGTTCCACCACGTCCAATACAGCAGCATGGGCTATAAGGGGGCGCCCTAGCCTTAATGGGCCAGGGGAACCAGCCCCCCAAGGCCCATGCGCATGGGAAGGGGGAAACCCTAAAGGGGGAGGCCTCCACTTGACTTGGGAGGCACTCCTTCCCCCTTGGCCGCACCCCTTGGGGTGGGAAACCCTAAAGGGGGCGCAGCCCCCTCTCCCCCTATATATATTGGAGGTTTTGGAGCAGCCCCATAGATGAGTTCTCTCCCTCTTGGTGCAGCCCTACCTCTCTCCCTACTCCTCCTCTCCCATGGTGCTTGGCGAAGCCCTGCGGGATTGCCACGCTCCTCCACCACCACCACGCCGTTGTGCTGCTGCTGGATGGAGTCTTCCTCAACCTCTCCCTCTCTCCTTGCTGGATCAAGGCGTGGGAGACGTCACCGGGCTGTACGTGTGTTGAACGCGGAGGTGCCGTCCGTTCGGCACTAGGATCTCCGGTGATTTGGATCACGACGAGTACGACTCCTTCAACCCCGTTCTCTTGAACGCTTCCGCTTAGCGATCTACAAGGGTATGTAGATGCACTCTCCTTCCCCTCGTTGCTGGTCTCTCCATAGATAGATCTTGGTGATACGTAGGAAATTTTTTGAATTTCTGCTACGTTACCCAACAGTGGCATCATGAGCTAGGTCTATTGCGTAGATTCTTTGTACGAGTAGAACAAAAAGTAGTTGTGGGCGTTGATGTTGTTCAATATGCTTACCGTTACTAGTCCAATCTTGTTTCGGCGGCATCGTGGGATGAAGCGGCCCGGACCGACCTTACACGTACTCTTACGTGAGACAGGTTCCACCGATTGACATGCACTTGGTGCATAAGGTGGCTAGCGGGTGCCAGTCTCTCCCACTTTAGTCGGAACGGATTCGATGAAAAGGGTCCTTATGAAGGGTAAATAGCAATTGGCATATCACGTTGTGGTCTTGCGTAGGTAAGAAACGTTCTTGCTAGAAACCCATAGCAGCCACGTAAAACATGCAACAACAATTAGAGGACGTCTAACTTGTTTTTGCAGGGTATGCTATGTGATGTGATATGGCCAAGAGGAATGTGATGAATGATATGTGATGTATGAGATTGATCATGTTCTTGTAATAGGAATCACGACTTTCATGTCGATGAGTATGACAACCGGCAGGAGCCATAGGAGTTGTCTTTATTTATTGTATGACCTGCGTGTCATTGAAGAACGCCATGTAAACTACTTTACTTTATTGCTAAACGCGTTAGTCATAGAAGTAGAAGTAGTCGTTGGCGTGACAACTTCATGAAGACACGATGATGGAGATCATGATGATGGAGATCATGGTGTCATGCCGGTGACAAGATGATCATGGAGCCCCGAAGATGAAGATCAAAGGAGCTATATGATATTGGCCATATCATGTCACTACTCTATTTGATTGCATGTGATGTTTATCATGTTTATGCATCTTCTTTACTTAGAACGACGGTAGTAAATAAGATGATCCCTTACAACAATCTCAAGAAGTGTTCTCCCCTAACTGTGCACCGTTGCTACAGTTCGTCGCTTCTAAGCACCACGTGATGATCGGGTGTGATGGATTCTTACGTTCACATACAACGGGTGTAAGACAGTTTTACACAGCGAAAACACTTAGGGTTAACTTGACGAGCCTAGCATGTACAGACATGGCCTCGGAACACGGAGACCGAAAGGTCGAGCATGAGTCGTATAGCAGATACGATCAACATGAAGATGTTCACCGATGATGACTAGTCCGTCTCACGTGATGATCGGACACGGCCTAGTTGACTCGGATCATGTAATCACTTAGATGACCAGAGGGATGTCTATCTGAGTGGGAGTTCATAAGATGAACTTAATTATCCTGAACATAGTCAAAAGATTTTTGCAAATTATGTCGTAAGCTCGCGCTTTAGTTCCACTGTTTAGATATGTTCCTAGAGAAAATATAGTTGAAAGTTGACAGTAGCGATTATGCGGACACTAGAAAGCTTATATCCTTAATGCACCGCTCAGTGTGCTGAACCCCAAACGTCGTTTGTGGATGTTGTGAACATCGGACATACACGTTTTGATAACTACGTGATAGTTCAGTTAAACGGTTTGGAATTAAGGCACCGAAGACGGTTTTTGAAACGTCGCGAAACATATGAGACGTTTCGAGGGCTGAAATTAGGATTTCAGGCTCGTGCCCACGTCAAGAGGTATAAGACCTCCGACGATTTTCTTAGCCTGCAAACTAAGGGAGAAAAGCTCAATCGTTGAGCTTGTGCTCAGATTGTCTGAGTGCAACAATCACTTAAATCGAGTGGGATTTGATCTTCCAGATGAGATAGTGATGTTTCTCCAAAGTCATTGCCACCAAGCTGCTAGAGCTTCGTGATGAACTATAACATATCAGGGATAGATATGATGATCCTTGAGGTATTCGCGATGTTTGACACCACGAAAGTAGAAATCAAGAAGGAGCATCAATTGTTGATGGTTGGTGAAACCACTAGTTTCAAGAAGGGCAAGGGCAAGAAGGGATACTTCATGAAACGGCAAATCAGCTGCTGCTCCAGTGAAGAAACCCAAGGTTGAACCCAAACCCGAAACTAAGTGCTTCTGTAATAAGGGGAACAGCCACTGGAGCAGAATTACCCTAGATACTTGGTAGATAAGAAGGCTAGCAAGGTCGATAGAAGTATATTGGATATACATTGTGTTGATGTGTACTTTACTAGTACTCCTGGTAGCACCAGGGTATTAGATACCGGTTCGGTTGCTAAGTGTTAGTAACTCGAAATAAAGAGCTACGGAATAAACGGAGACTAGCTAAAGGTGAGCTGACGATATATGTTGGAAGTGTTTCCAAGTTTGATGTGATCAAACATCGCACGCTCCCTCTACCATCAAGATTAGTATTAAACCTAAATGGTTTAATTGAATCTCGATCGTAATGATACACATTTTCATGCCAAAAAGGATATAAGATAGTAATGATAGTACCACTTACTTGTGGCACTGCCATGTAAGTCATAATGGTATAAAACGCATGAAGAAGCTCCATGTTGATGGATCTTTGGACTCACTCGTTTTTGAAAAGTTTGAGACATGCGAACCATGTCTATTGGTGTATACGCATGAAGAAACTCCATGCAGATGGATCGTTTGAACTCACTTGATTTTGATTCACTTGAGATATGCAAATCATACCACATGGGCAAGATGACTGAAAAGCCTCGGTTTCAGTAAGATGGAACAAGATAGCAACTTGTTGGAAGTAACACATTTTGATGTGTGCAGTCCAATGAGTGCTGAGGCATGCAGTGAATATCATTATGTTCTTACTTCACAGATGATTCGAGTAGATGTTGAGAATATTTACTTGATGAAACACAAGTCTGAATTATTGAATGGTTCAAGTAATTTCAGAGTGAAGTAGAAGATCATTGTGACAAGAGGATAAAATGTCTATGATATGATCATAGAGATGAATATCTGAGTTACGAGTTTTGGCACACAATTAAGACATTGTGGAAATTGTTTCGCAATTAATACCGCCTGGAACACCATAGTGTGATGGTGTGTCCGAACATCATAGTTGCACCCTATTGGATATGGTGCGTACCATGATGTCTGTTATCGAATTACCACTATCATTCATGGGTTAGGCATTAGAGACAACCGCACTCACTTTAATAGGGCACCACGTAATTCCGTTGAGACGACACCGTTTGGAGAAACCTAAGTTGTCGTTTCTTAAAGGTTTGGGGCTGCGACGCTTATGTGAAAAAGTTTCAGGATTGATAAGCTCGAACCCAAAGCGGATAAAATGCATCTTCATAGGACACCCAAAACAGTTGGGTATACCTCCTGTCTCAGATCCGAAAGCAATAAGGGATTTTTTCTAGAATCGGGTCCTTTCTCGAGGAAAAGTTTCTCTCGAAAGAATAGAGTGGGAGGATGGTGGAGACTTGATAAGGTTATTGAACCGTCTCTTCAACTAGTGTGTGACAGGGCACAGGGAGTTGTTCCTGTGGCACCTACACCAATTGAAGTAGAAGCTTATGATAGTGATCATGAAGTTTCGGATCAAGTCACTGCCGTACCTCGTAGGGTGACAAGGATACGTACTACTTCAGAGTGGTACAGTAATCCTGTCTTGAAGGTCATGTTGCTAGACAACAATGAACCTACGAGCTATGAGGAAGCGATGGTGGGCCCAAATTCCGACAAATGGTTAAGAAACCATGAAATCCGAGATAGGATCCATGTATCAGAACAAAGCATGGACTTTGGTGGACTTGCCAAATGATCGGCAAGCCAATAAGATAAATGGATCTTTAAGAAGAAGACAGACGTGGACGGTAATGTCACCGTCTATGAAGCTCGACTTGTGGCGAAGAGTTTTTTCACAAGTTCAAGGAGTTGACTACGATGAGATTTTCTCATCCGTAGCGATGCTTAAGTCCGTCGGAATCATGTTAGCATAAGCTGCATTTATGAAATCTGGCAGATGGATGTCAAAACGAGTTTCCTTGCCAACTTTCGTAAGGAAAGGTTGTATGTAATACAATCAGAAAGGTTTTGTCGATCCTAAGGATGCTAAAAGGTATGCTAGCTCTAGCGATCCTTCTAAGGACTGGAGTGAGCATCTCGGAGTTGGAATGTATGCTTTGATGATGATCAAAGATTTTGGGTTTGTACAAAGTTTATGAGAAACTTGTATTTCCAAAGAAGTGAGTGGGAGCACTATAGAATTTCTGATGAGTATATGTTGTTGACATATTGTTGATCAGAAATGACGTAGAATTTCTGGAAAGCATATAGGGTTATTTTGAAAGTGTTTTTCAATAGAAAACCTGGATTAAGCTACTTGAGCATTGATCATCAAGATCTATAAGGATAGATCAAAACGCTTAATGGTACTTTCAAATGAGCACATACCTTGACATGATCTTGAAGGTGTTCAAGATGGACCAGTCAAAGAAGGAGTTCTTGCCTGAGTTGTAAGGTACGAAGTTAAGACTTAAAGCTCGACCACGGCAGAATAGAGAGAAAGGACGAAGGTCGTCCCCTATGCTTAAGACGTAGGCTTTTCAGTATGCTATGCTGTGTACCGCACCTAAAGTGTGCCTTGCCATGAGTCAGTCAAGGGGTACAAGAGTGATCCAAGAATGGATCACAGTACAGCGGTCAAAGTTATCCTTAGTAACTAGTGGACTAAGGAATTTTCTCGGTTATGGAGGTGATAAAGAGTTCGACGTAAAGAGTTACGACGATGCAAGCTTAACACCTATCCGGATAGCTCTGAGTAGAGATACCGGATATGTATAATGGAGCAACAATTTAGAATAGCTCCAAGTAGAACAGTTATTTGGAATAGCTCCAAATAGAGCGTGGTAGCTGCATCTAGGAGATGACATAAAGATTTGTAAAGCACACACGGATCTGAAAGGTTCAGACCCGTTGACTAAAACCTCTCTCACAAGCAACATGATCAAACCCAGAACTCATTGAGTGTTAATCACATAGTGATGTGAACTAGATTATTGACACTAGTAAACTCTTTGGATGTTGGTTACATGGCGATGTGACCTGTGAGTGTTAATCACATGGCGATGTGAACTAGATTATTGACTCTAGTGCAAGTGGGAGACTGTTGGAAATATGCCCTAGAGGCAATAATAAATTGGTTATTATTATATTTCTTTGTTCATGATAATAGTCTTTTATTCATGCTATAACTGTATTATCCGGAAATCGTAATACACGTGTGAATACATAGACCACAATATGTCCCTAGTGAGCCTCTAGTTGACTAGCTCGTTGTGATCAACAGATAGTCATGGTTTCCTGGCTATGGACATTGGATGTCGTTGATAACGGGATCACATCATTAGGAGAATGATGTGATGGACAAGACCCAATCCTAAGCCTAGCACAAAGATCGTGTAGTTCGTATGCTAAAGCTTTTCTAATGTCAAGTATCTTTTCCTTAGACCATGAGATTGTGCAACTCCCGGATACCGTAGGAATGCTTTGGGTGTACCAAACGTCACAACGTAACTGGGTGACTATAAAGGTGCATTACAGGTATCTCCGAAAGTGTCTGTTGGGTTGGCACGAATCAAGACTGGGATTTGTCACTCCGTGTAAGCGGAGAGGTATCTCTGGGCCCACTCGGTAGGACATCATCATAATGTGCACAATGTGACCAAGGGGTTGATCACGGGATGATGTGTTACGGAACGAGTAAAGAGACTTGCCGGTAACGAGATTGAACAAGGTATCAGTATACCGATGATCGAATGTCGGGCAAGTACAATACCGCTAGACAAAGGGAATTGTATACGGGATCGATTGAGTCCTTGACATCGTGGTTCATCCGATGGGATCATCGTGGAACATGTGGGAGCCAACATGGGTATCCAGATCCCGCTGTTGGTTATTGACCGGAGAACGTCTCGGTCATGTCTGCATGGTTCCCGAACCCGTAGGGTCTACACACTTAAGGTTCAATGACGCTAGGGTTATAAAGGAAGTTTGTATGTGGTTACCGAATGTTGTTCGGAGTCCCGGATGAGACCCCGGACGTCACGAGGAGTTCCGGAATGGTCCGGAGGTAAAGATTTATATATGGAAAGTTGTTGTTCGGGTTCCGGAAAAAGTTCGGGTTTTTTCGGTATTGTACCGGGAAGCTTCCAGAAGGTTCCGGAGGATTCCGAAGGGGTCCGGAGGTCCAGAAATTGTTCCACCACGTCCAATACAGCAGCATGGGCTGTAAGGGGGCGCCCTAGCCTTAATGGGCCAGGGGAACCAGCCCCCCAAGGCCCATGCGCATGGGAAGGGGGAAACCCTAAAGGGGGAGGCCTCCACTTGACTTGGGAGGCACTCCTCCCCCCTTGGCCGCACCCCTTGGGGTGGGAAACCCTAAAGGGGGCGCAGCCCCCTCTCCCCCTATATATATTGGAGGTTTTGGAGCAGCCCCATAGATGAGTTCTCTCCCTCTTGGTGCAGCCCTACCTCTCTCCCTACTCCTCCTCTCCCATGGTGCTTGGCGAAGCCCTGCGGGATTGCCACGCTCCTCCACCACCACCACACCGTTGTGCTGCTGCTGGATGGAGTCTTCCTCAACCTCTCCCTCTCTCCTTGCTGGATCAAGGCGTGGGAGACGTCACCGGGCTGTACGTGTGTTGAACGCGGAGGTGCCGTCCGTTCGGCACTAGGATCTCCGGTGATTTGGATCACGACGAGTACGACTCCTTCAACCCTGTTCTCTTGAACGCTTCCGCTTAGCGATCTACAAGGGTATGTAGATGCACTCTCCTTCCCCTCGTTGCTGGTCTCTCCATAGATAGATCTTGGTGACACGTAGGAAAATTTTTGAATTTCTGCTACGTTACCCAACACTTAGTTTAAGGGAATTTACCCAAGCAAACTGCCTCTAGACGATGTGTATTGGAGAATATATGAAACCAAAAAACTTAAATAGTGATATATTGAATAAAAGATAGAGGGGGTCAAAATAAAGTGAAGGGCTCTTTTAAATGTACCTCTACTTCTTGAAATATGGGATCAACGAGGCTTCGCAACTTGGATGGCTTTAGTATATCAAGCATGAGGTTTACTTGCTCACTGCGAGTTGCGGCATCTACACCATACAAAACTTCCTGGCCAAAGATGGGAACAGTAACCTCGGCAAAATTACCAAAGCTAATCTCTGACTCCAGCCCTTGGAAGAAATGAGCCGAGACATCTGGTCCAACCAACAAGGTTATCTTTGGCCCAAGCAAATTTATTGTAAATACACTGCCGTACCTTGTGTACAGATCATTGATTGTAACCCCAAACCCCTTTTTAAAAAGTGAAGGTAAGAGAGCAAGGACATTCACCACAGGTGGAAGTGGTCTTGTGGACAAATGATGGATATTGCTTTTCCATCTTGAAATCTTAGTGGCTACAACAGTTATGAAAAAGAGAGCTATGGCCAACCATGTGGTTTTAGTTGCCAGCATGTCCATGATGTCGTGTCTAATAGTTATGTAGGCAGCCAACTATGAACCCAATATGCCTGGCGCTGCAAAAACATGAACATATATTGAGGTAGTAACTTAGATATGCATGTATCTATACAATTAAATTTAGTGAGATGACAAAATTGACGCGGGTTTAATTTGTAAGGTGATTCACATTTGCTATTCAGTTTATTTCTTGGTTCTCACAATGTTAGAATGGGAAAATAACCCAAGCTTGGGCTTATCCATACAAGGCCGTGGTTTACCGGTAGCTCAACCGCCTGTTGGTTGCATCAAGAACAGTAGATTATCTCACGACTTGTAAGTGCTGGTTGTATAGGTCCTTTTTTGAGGAAATAACACTCTCGAGAGTATTCTTTGATAATCTCTAGTTTAACTAAATGAACTAAAATTTTAATAGTTACATCAATTTATATCTAGTTCATTTGGTTGAACAAAACAAGGGTCAGAAGGTACTCCGTGGGCCAAAAATTTGCAAATCAGGAGAAGTCACGAACTAGAGCTTTGACATGGTTTTGCTAGTTCCGCAAAAACGAAAAAACTTACACCTATGGCCTAAGAAAAATTTCTTAGGTTTTTTTTACGGGAATAAGCTAATTAAGTGAGATCATAATTTGTCCTCCAGTAGAGCTGTCGGTATGGCTGAAGTTGATTTTGTAGACGTGGACATGACACAACAAGACGTTGATCGGTTGATGCCATGAATAAAACGGTCGGTCGAGTGCCGTTTCTACACGTACCAATTAAGTTGGTGAATTTTTTTTCCGGTAATAAGAAACGTCGGCTAAAGGGGGAAGAATCACTCCCATAACTGTCTGTTAATTAGGTGGAAGATGAGAATTCTCCATGATTTTAATTGCGGATAGCACCCTAGCGGAGTCCACTACACGGACTCAGAAGCGGGTTGCCACTGCAATGCGAACTCCAGCCACTGAACTAGCGCTCCGTTCTCAGTATTCAGTCAATCTAAATAAGAGAATATATGAAACATATGTAGGTAAAGCGTAGCACATGACAGTATAGCAGTGCCAGTTTCGTTTGAGCAGAGAATTCACTCAAATTGAAAGAAGAACGCATAGGTAGTATGTGCATACCTCAATCACAAGGTCGATTCTTTTCAGGTTCCTGAACTCATCCGTCAGGTGTGTCTCAATGGAACATTGGTAGCAGGAGTACCAAAAGAGCAGCGTTATTTATAAGCTCGCAGCCCCGCGTGGCCACTAAGAAATAAGGCAGGATAGGATTAGACAATCAGAAAGATCGATCTTCAAAGTTAGATATAGGATTGCTCCTACATCCGGAAAAATGGGAAGATGGTACACGCTATGACATATAAAAGTAAAGTCAGAAAGCAAACCGAATTTATAATTGCATGGTTTGCGCGTGTTACTTAAAGTTGATGACAAGATGGTACACGCTATTTACATATATGAAAGTAAAGTCAATGACTGGATGGCAGCTAAATATAGTGCTATCACAAGCACATCCTAGTTGCCGACGATATATCGTCTTGGTATTAATATATTATCTTTATCGGAAATTTTGCAGAGGATAGGAAATTGAAAAAAAAGACATCATTTTCATCACTAAACTTCAGCTAGAGTGAAATTTTAATCTTCGAACTTTAATAGGGCACATTTCTACTCGGGCTTTCAACACATGGCAGGGAAAACAGATCTAGGATATGTTTCTTTTTCTTGTAATTTTGGATCTAATGCAAGAAAATAGACCTTGGTAAATTCAATGCATTAATTATATTTGGACTCTTTTCATAGTGTAAGAAAAAAATGAACTAACTTAACTTTTTTGGTTTCCCTAAAAAGATGCAGATCTTCTGTTATATACTAAATGCGCGATGCGGTAAAAAATGGGGAAATACACTAGAAAATCCCATGTTAATTAGAATATGCCGGCCATTAACCTGGTGGACCTTCATAAATTAGGAATCATAGCCGTTTGATCTTTGTAGCCGAAAAATTGTAATGGGTCTCTCAGCTTAATGACCCGCATAGATACCAACTAAACATAATCCTTTAATATAAAAAACTTTTTTTCTTTCCAAGCTACAGGCTGCATTTGAGATCAAGGACTCGATCTTCGACATACAAAATTCAGTTGGCCTCCCAATTTAAAGTCCCACATAGATCAAACTAAATGTTATCTTTGTAACAGGAAAAAACAATGGGAAGATGGTACATCATGAATCGAGGACGGCATAAATGATGTGATCAGAAAAATTTTTGGAAAGATGTTGCATCAGCCAATGCAATTTATAATAGCATGGCTTGCGGGTAATCTTTAAAAATGATGAGAAGATGGTACAAGCTATGACACATATAAGTAAGGTCCATGATTTGGTGGTAGCGAAGTATAGTGCTATCATGAGCATGTTCTTATTGCTGAGAATATATGTTCTTGATATTACTATATTTTCTTTATTGTTTTTTTAAGAGAATAAGAAATTAAAGAAAAATAATATCATGAAACTTCAGCTAGAGTGAAAATTTCATCCTTGAACTTTAATAGGGCATATTTCTTATTGGGCTTTCAACACATGGCGGGGGAAACAAATCTAGGATATACTTCTTTTCTCTTGTAATTATGGATATAATGCAAGAAAATAGACCTTGCTAAATTCAATACTTTTCTACGTTTGGATTCTTTTCATAGAGTGTAAGAAAAATTAATCTAACTTAACTTTTTTTAGTTTTCCCAGAAATATGCAAATTGAACGTGAAAAAGAAAATTGCAAAGAGTACAAGCAAGTGGAAGTAGGGGGTGTCTAAAATGCAAAAAGAGAAGAAAAGAAAGAATTTGATTGCTAGTGGTTACGTGTAGCGACTCAATCCGAATGGATCGGAGTCTTGGTGCTTAATGTGCTAGTCCCTGGATCGGTTTGCTAGCACAGATAGCACTCGATGAAATAACAGAGTTCAATGACACATTACTACATCGATAATCCTCAAATATAGTATCTATTACATAAATATGGCTGAAGGCCATCTAAAGAAAAATATCATGGAAGCATAGAAAAATAATGAGTCCATCCAACTCGACTTGCAAAACTGAGTACAGAACAATGACCTCGCATCTTAATCCTCGTCGGACAAATCTGCAACATGATAAGTTACTGCCGTGTAGGTCAGCACATGAAATATACTGGCAAGTCACACCATAAGAGAGAATAAAAGTCCTACCTCTACATACCATTGGCTAGTGGAAGGTTCTAAGTTTAATTTTTGCATTCTACCATTATCATAATTATTGAGATGGAGCCCCCAACTCAATCTATTCCCAAAGTTGATTTAATCGATTCATTAATTAAATGTGATGAGATCTCTCGATATTCCCACTTCTAGATTCTCAAGATGTCTATAACTGTGGATACGACTAATTGATTAGCTAAAATTCATGGAAAATTTCAGCATGACCTTTGCTGAAAATAGGACATATGGAGTACCCGAATTTGCCGGAATGGAAGTTAATCGACATTCCAGCAAACTCAAGGGCCTCTCGGGGTACCTGCAAAATCATCACGACACGATGGTCGGAGACATGACCTTTGCTGAAAATTGTTTTATGTAAAAGATGATCATGCTAGCCAGCCAGGCAAGTGATTGTCACTCAAATTAAGCTAGGCTTAGACTGACTGAAGCATCTGTCTTCCTCCCTTTCTTTTTCTCTCTTCCTTTCACATTAACTTTACTTTCCAAAGGAAATAAAAATACAATGCATACATACGTACTAAAGCAGGTAGATAGATAGTTAGATAGATGAGCATGCTCAGTTTACAAGAATGTATATAAACAAGCAAAGAATGCATGCATGCATATCAAGCCTGCCTTGAAAAATCTACCAAGCCTGCCTAAAGCATGTCTGCATGATGGGTATCACACTATCAGTTACTACCAGTTAATTACTAGTCATGCCAAATAAGATACTCCTCCTCCTCATCATATAAAAAATGACCAATCAGCACATGCATCAATATGCTCCTCTCCTCTGCTATTACTTCTCTGCTGCTACAAACATAACCACAATAACAACTAGTGACCACCAACCAATAGCAGTCTCATTCACCACACAATTCAACCAGATAACACAGACATACTTCCAGGGATGGTTTGATCAGAATTAGTTAAGCTCAGTCTCAATGTTCTGAAAACATAAGAGCTCATGTCATACATATGCTGGTGTGGTAAAGGAAAATATTGATAGAATAGCTCTAGCTCTCAAGAATCTAAACGGAAGCATGTGAAAAAATGGCCAAGATTGCACCTTCTATCTACTCTGGCCCTAAGTCCCAATTTAGTTTTACAAGCCAAAGCATGAGAAAACAGCAGATAGAAGAAAAATCAAGCTTGCAGATTTAAAATATGGTTTGACACAAGGCATGTTTGCTTATTTCAAGATGTCGAACAACCTTCATTTGAGCCAAGGCAGATAACTTTTAAGCTATGCCACTGAAGAATAAGGACGCCAAACAGAATATAGTCAGCACCATATTATATTATGCTCCAGTGCAGCAGAAAATTTACATCAGACCAAATAGGCTCATTTTTCAAACTCCCGAGCTTGCAACTTTGCACCCCTGCCTAATAGACTAGATGTACTAATTAAATCTTACACCCTATCCATCGAGTTTCACACTGACAGAAAGAACATCACATTTATCATCAAATGCTAAGCTAACATCATTCAGGCGCTTCAATTGACAAATTTGCATAGCAGAGGAGCTCACCGTCCGGTGACGAGGCAGAGGCAGGTCGGCAGCGGCCGGTGTTGAAGAGGGGGCATCATCGAGGAGGGTGGTGAAGAGGGGGGCGTCGGCGTCTCACCTGGATGCTCTGCACGACATTGGAGGGGGCGGCGTCCGGAGGCAGAGGAGATGGTGGGCACGGCCCTGAACTCGGGG